TGAATGAACTGACGTGCTACGCTTTGGTACGGGTCCACATACGCTACACCTGAAATGTATGCTGCAAAAAATGACATCGAGAAGGAATTTCCCAGAACAAGCAATTATCACCATCTAATGCCACGTTTCATCACTTAGGTTCACTTATAGCAACATTCATAATACTACTCCAGTTTCTGCCATTATGTAATAATCTAGCATCGCCAAGGTTTCTACCATAATGTAATTTATTTCTTAATACTAGAGATAATCAAAGATCAAATTCATATTAAATCTTACATCTTTATTATAATGATATCTTCATCACAATCACTGGCGTAGCTGGTAATTTTTTTTAAGTAGGCTCGGTTGCAGATTTACTTCATTGCCATATCTCAAAACGGCAATGGGTTGAGATTTTATTGAAACATCTAACGTTTAGTCGTCCAATTATTATTATTATTATTATTATTATTATTATTATTATTATTATTATTTTATTATTATTAGCGTGAATGCCATTAATGACAACGCTACACGTTCTCTCTCGAGGGCCCGGAGTGAGCCCAGCGGCTGTCTGGAGACTGGTGAGATAAATTTTAGTAATCGAATAAGTAAGCTAAAAAGTGCTTAAAAGTCGTAAACCCGAAAATCAGAGTCATTTCCGGAATATTTATCTGCATTGATTACATTTGTGAATAGAAGAGCTTCGAATGATTTTCAATATGTTTCTCGATAACTCAATATATTTCTGTGAAAATAATCTTCAAATTTCGCATTTTCAGTAAAGCTAAATCGTTATTTTTTCAAAGTCGGTTCCGAACTATTCAACGAAAATTTGCATATAGGACGAGGTTTTACTTTTTTTTACTAAAACTTTTATCCAGCTGACAGATCGTTATCCTTTACGTCCTGATGGGACACATTTTCGACCATACGCTAGACTCCAGGTCTTCACCAGGCTAGGACTTCTCTCATTTGAGGCCAGGAGAAAGCGAGGCCCTCCGCGACAACACGTCCAGGAGAGAGAAAGGGACAATCATGCCCAAGGTGATGCTCGAACCTGCGACCCTTAGGACCGAAGGGCTGAGTCAGTACACCATCCTGCTATCGAGGACGGCCCGTATCTTACACTTCTATAATTCTTAAAGTCATGTTTCAGTTCTACTATTAGGAAGATGTGGACAGAAAATGTGACAAAAATGTGAAAAAATACCCTTTAAGCGGGAAAAGATGGCAACTACAAAGCAAAGCAAGCACAAAGAGAGTAACGCATAAGCGAAAAGCTAGTCCAAACTAAAGAGATAAGGAAACGAGCTAGTGTGAGAAATCTGTGTCATTTATAACATAGCTAGTTTTTCTGTATTTAATAGCAACTTTTTCGTTTCTAGGACCCGACCATAAGTATTTTTCTGCCAAAAAGTTCGCCATTTTGCGGTGCACGATTGCATAACTTTCTCTTCTTACGAAGCACCTTCGTTAGAGCGAAGAAATAAAAATGTGCTAGTCCGGTTTTTAGCAAACTCAACTTATTTGCAAAAAATACGTTGGAGTTGGGAAAATGTTGCGTTTACACAATTAAATTTTTAAGCGTCGGCCCAAGTTGCTAGTACTTTAGGTTTCTTCTGTAGCGTAGAGTTATAGGTGATGGAGAGTTAACTCGAAAGATTTGAGTTCCAGTCTCGGCGATGAAAACGTTTGTGCTGGTTTGAAAACACGTTTGCATGTTCATTATATAGAAGAAACATGTGTATAATACAGCGGAACAGTTGGAAATAATGCCAGAAAGTATGTGATGTTCAGCACTCCTAGTTTTATACCAAAAGTTATTATATACGAGGAGAAACTTAAATGTAAAAAAGGTGCGGTTTCTGAGAAAAAAATAAATAAAATTGCGAGTTGCGCAAATTATACAAAAACAACCTTTTCAAAACACCGTACTTTTTTAAAGAACAGATTTTTTTACAACAGATTTTATGTATACGTTATTTCAAGTGTTTATAGTTTTAAAATGTTAGGATTTTTGCAATTTTCAAAAATATCAATTGATAGAATTGATCGGATCGATAGGTAAAAGCGGGACTAGCACCATATTTTTTACCGTCCCTAATTGCATATGAGAAAATTTAAAGAAAACATTGTTAATAAATTTAACATGCCTATATTACGCGCAAAAATACATGAAAACTACTCACATTTTTGGAAAATTGAACATGAACTTACTTAAATATGCGTTTTTAAGTAACATATTTCATTAAGGAAAAATAACTCCTCTGCAATATTATAGTTATAGAAATAATTTTTGCAATTTTCAAAAAATAGAGAAATAAAGGGTGTATTTTTTAATGAGTTTGAAGCCTGGGCTGTGTTCTATTTCTATTTATTAATCATTTTTGTGAATAATTCATGGAACAGAATTCACAAAAAGATTAGAAATTTATTTTGATGCATGTTGATGATATAGGTCTGCATATTATTGTAATAATAATAATAATAATAATAATAATAATAATAATAATAATAATAATAATAATAATAATATATTTGTCACATAAATACAGCATACACCATGTCAGGATATGTATATAATCATACAATACACAATACAGATATTTCTAAAAATTAAATGATATTATTGTAGAATGTAGGGTGTGAACTGAAAGGGAGGGGGATGCCCACTAGAAAACTGAATCCATGTTGGTTCTTAATCAGATTAATATTTGAAGTGAGAAGGTTTCTGAATCATTGAAAAGTTTTTCTACAATTTTTTGAAAACTAGATAGTAAGGATACCTGTAATTCATAAGGTTATGTGCATTGCCTTTTCTGAATAGTGACTGAATTGTTCATCAAAGGATGATTACAATAATGGGAGAAGGAAATAATTAATGATTACAAAAATATGAATGAGTAGTTCTATTATGTGTATTGCAGTATACTATCTAGTATGTTTGAAGAGGGAGTGCAGAATACTATCCTGGCCTGAAAATACTAATTTGTTTTTTTGAGATGTTTTTTGATGAGGTGTAGTAATTCTAAGGGAAATGTTTCATTGATACTTATGGAATTAAAATTTGTAGTGATGCTTTTTTGTTAGGGTAATAGTAGGTACTTCTTCGGTGTTCACCTGGTCAAGATTGGAGAAACCCAGAAAACTACCAATCAGAGCTGCCAGCTGACAAAATCCTCCAGACAAATACTAAACTCAACCTAGGAATATAGCCAGCCTCCACCACCTTCGGGTCTTGAACCCTACAGTCAGAGTTGCTGCAGTGACAACAGTCCAACACCTGATCCATCTCAGCCAATACTTAAGGATGTACCTTAAATGGCATAGTGAAACTTGATGAGCTTATTTTTTAGGTCTGTAATATGAGAATTTCATTTTAGATCATAGTCAATCTAAGGAATTTCGTGTTATGGGCTATTGTTACTGGTAAGTTCTTGATGACCAATTATGCTGGTGGCTTTTCTTTTCCCAAAGTTCAGTTAGTCAGTTTACTGGTATTTATAATTAGTTTAGATTCTTCAAAATATTTTATAAGTATCTGGAGTAACAAGCGGAGGAGACCAGAAGGTGAGGGGGGAAGGGGGCAGCTGGGGCAACTTGCCCACGAGGCCCCGACTTATTTGGAGCCCTGAAAATTTGTTCATTCAAAGGAAATAAACAATGTGTTCATCTCGAATCCAAATTAAATGCTAAAAGTTATTTCTAATGCACAGAGAAATGAATTCTGTTTATGACTCGAGGGAGGAGGACATTTTTTTTTGTTTGAACTGAAGGCCCCCATGGATCAATTGCCCCAGTCTCCTGTTTTTCCCTAGGCACCCCTGGTAACAAGCATGCCATTTAGTAATAAGATGCTCTGCCTGTATTTCTGAATTCATGTTGGACCTGTATTAGTATGTTATTTGAACTGAAAAAGTTTCTAAGTCTATCATTGAAAAGATTTTCTAAATCCAAATAGTAAGGATAATGGCCTGTAATTCATGAGGTCATGTGTGCTGCTTTTTTGAATGGGGACTTAACTTTCGCTTCTTTGATAGTGACCTAAAAAGGACTTTTTGATAATAATGCCTACTGCAACTAACAATCCAGTGAGAAGATACGATTTTGGTCAGGTTCTGTAGGTCAGTCATATTGATTAGATGTATTCTATCGTGATATTGTATTTAATACAAGAATTGAATTTTAAATTTAATTTATGTTTTGTATTTAATTTTTAGAAATATTTGTATTGTGTATTGTATGATTATCTACTTATCCTAACTTGTCATACATGGCGTTTGCTGTAGTTATGTGACAAATATATTATTACATTATATTTATATATATATATATATATATATATATATATATATATATATATATATATTATTATTATTATTATTATTATAATTATTATTATAGATTGGGACTGATTTTTACTCCATGTCATAGCTTGGAACATGAAACAGGAAGACATAATTGGATTAGAATTTTTAATTTTTTTAAAAGGGAAGTAACATTGTGGTTAGTGCATTCCTTCACATTAATAAATGTTATTAACTAAGACACTTTTTATTTTTATTCAAATGTATACATTGACTTTCTCTTTGATTTAATGGCTAAGTTGTTGAAAAGTGTAACATTATTTATATCTCTTACAATAAAGTGTAATTTCAGAATGTGGAACATATATTATCATCTTGACACGTTACACTTAAGTAACTTCAACAGTAAGAGATTTGAAGGGATAATTTAGAGGATTCATTCAGTTATTTACTTTGTCTAATCCGTTTTCGCATTGATTTGTCAGTTTTTTTTTAAGATGACAAAGGATATAAAGCACAGTATTTTTAAATGCTATAACACTAAAATAATATTTCACTTTCGTGGCATATTAATGATTAATTGCGATTTTGATTTTGGAGGTAAAACCTGGGTAAAACACAGCATAACTGTCCATTTGGTGAAATCGCACCGACGATATCGATCGATTGGCTTATTTCTTCTGAAGATAGTGATTTCATTGGTTGCATAATTTTGTCATTGGTAGTTTTGGTAAGGCAGTAGTAAGAGATATTCAGATCGAGTAGTTTTTTTCATGAAATCATTGATCATATGTGATATGCAGGTAAATATTTATATTGAAGTTCTTCGATTGCAATGAATTAAGTAGAAATGCTATCACAATTACGTTATACAAATATCACATTTGTGACTATAGGAGTACATGTTTTCTTCCGTTACGTATTGCCATGTTTTATAATGTTAGGCATTATTTATTCCAAATATTGTGTGAATAATTAATATATTATATTATAAGCGTTTTAGCATTTCTACTGCTTCTGGCCGAATGCATTGTTTGCATAGTCCGCGTTTTAACTGACACAAGAGAGAACGAATCTCATTTGCTGTAGAAATTCCGAGGCTGTTCCTAGTCGGCTGTAGGTGTATGTCGCCTCTGAGAAACCCAATAACACTTACGAAATTTTTTTCCCCGGTGGTGTATATGTGAAATTTCTTTCCCGATAATTTTATATATTACATTTTATTAAAGAGTTGTAATTATATAACTATTCTCAGAAGTTTGTCTCTTTGTAACAAAATGAACAGTGGGATCTTGTGAGGGGGTCTGCTTACTCGTGAGAATTGCCCATTCATTCTGTACCTGAGATCTGTAGAAGAAAGTTGCACCATGAAGTATGCAGGTGAATTCTAAATGGCTTTATCGGATATTCGAGGTTTAGGAAATATTCTGGAAACGAGCACGATATCTCTCAGAAAGGTATATTTATTATGAAAGGATGCAGTTTGCTTATTTGAGCATTCATTTGCCTAAAGAAGAGCCTATTTTAATGTGCGTGTTTATTATGCGTTGGAAGTAATTTTGGAGATGAATATGTGTTATGACGTGCGTGTTCGAAATAGTTGTCATTTAATACATTCCGTAGTGTTGGTAATGTTTTAATGTTGATTAAACAACGAACCCGAGCTCCATTTAGAGAAACCACCCAGCAGAGGCAAATGACGTGGGCGGTTTACTTATTTGGGGACGATCTGTCAGAAGTATGCTTTCAGGGTGTTAATGGGAAAGTTCCTAGAGTTATTGGTTTGTTCTCCGGTTGCACTGTTTCGAATTCGTCGTATAAATAAGATTTATGTTGTACACCAAATAACGTTTTAATTGAAGTCGTTAGAAATACAAAATTGCCTATGATCCTTGCTTTTTAAATGAACCTCCTCATATTGAAATTTAGTTTTATTTAATAGAAGCCAAATTATTATTGATTTGGTATCTTATTTCCAATCAACTGTTACCTAGTTTCAACAAGCATCACTTTTCAAAATTCTTTAAAGCTTTTCGCGTGTAAAGATTAATTATGAATTAAGAAATCTGTGTTATTTCAATAAACAGTTTGTTATATTGTGTTATTTTTTGGGTTTCTCAGTGTGAGCGAGATGGATCAGAAATGCAACAAAAAATTATGGAAAGCAGCCTGGTTTCAGGAGCATTTTCCACATGGTCTCTTAATGGACACATCCCAGATTATGCTCAGGTAATGAAATGTAAAGTTTGCTAAAAATGTTTTTAAATTGCAGTGTCAACTTGTAGAAGGTACTCGGAAAGCCTTTACAGAAAATTGCCAGAACTTCAAACAAAACAAATTATTCAGTATTCATTACCACAAACAAAGTATTTGACATTTTGATGCATGTTGAATATATTTTTGTCATTACGGTCCCAGCTGTTGCTTTTTTTACTTCACAAAATCTCTTTGTAACCAGACTTGAAGTTGGACTTTAAAATATTTTATTCTTTTGGTAATTGTAATTGAAATTACCTGAACAATAATTTTTCACGTGGTATAAACCCAGTCTGTCAATATAAAAGACATGATGAGATTAGTATTAAGTGTTTTCAGTTGGTAGTGTCTTTAATTAAAAATACTTTTTGCAGGAGTGTTTCAAAAATGTCAGTTTTGCAATGTATATAAATGATTCTCAGTTTCAATTTTTAATTTTTTTCCTCCAGAATGGACAGGAAGAAATACAGAAACAAGATGGTACCAGTTCTTCAAATAATGCCATGGTTGACGATTTAGTAGCCAAAATTCTTGAAGATGAATCTTTCGTTGTGAATAATGGGTTGAAAGACACCATGCCTATGTAAGTAAAATTATGTTATCAATAGGATTTTGAGAGAATAGTTCTTTAATTGGGAAATAAAAAACTTATAAATTATAAAACTAAATGGATGAATTTCCCCATCTCGCACATTTGAAAGCCATTAAATTTTATATACTGACAATGTTTTGAATGTGAATGTTTCAAAAAATATAACTATATCATTTTAAAAACTTCAATAAGAAGTTGCAATTTTTTTTATTCAAGGATGTCATCTCCAAGGGATGCAGATGTTTTCTCACTGTATAACGGACCTAACACTTCTCACAGTGCGCAGTGGGCAGATCAGTATCAAAATGGAACAAATGGCATGCCGCACTTTGGCATTGGTGGTGTTGCTAATAATTTAGGACAACTTAGTGGGATAAAAATTTCAGATTTTGGTTTGCCTTCTCCCAATTCAATTGGGAAAGAATATGTAAGTGTCTCAGACTTCATTCTGTTATTGCATAATATAATAATTTTTGAAATGTTACCTTATTGTATGTACGTTTGTTTTTGTTTCAGTTGAGTCCAAATGAATTTTCTTGCCTTGGTCTTACTTCTATTGAACAAACAGATTTTGATTTACCTCCCCTGGATATGCGATCTGTAAACCAAATGCAATCAATGTCTGTTCCTCCTCCTCCTCATCCACAGACACGACCTTTACATACAGACAACTTTTCCAGTCGTAGATCTTATATGCATCAATCAAATCAACAGGTAAATGATGCCACTGTAATCTCTGATCCAAACTGGATTCATTGTTGCCCAAATTTTCTAGTTATAGTGTCAAGTAAATCATTAAATTAATTACGAAGATTTATGGAAAATGGAATTAGAAATTTTTCAAAGAAATTCTCCTTTGTTTTAGTGTTGTTACACTGCCTTATTTTCTCCCTTAGCTCATTCCTTGTATTGCATGTGTGCTCATTAAAACCTTTCCCTTCTCCCAATTGTTTTTTTATTTTGCCTCTATCCGTATCAGTCTTTAAACTTTGAGTTTAGCCATAATATGCACTGAACTTAAAACTGTATGTTGAAAAGACAGTGGAGTTCTAAATTTTGTATTATCATATCTCAGAATGGTCAGTGTTTTTTGTAAAATGCAATTCTGGTAAAAATATTACTGGAAATACTATGCAGGTTTTTAAAATATTCTATGTATTACTTTTTGGATTAAATATATCTTTTTTTTTTTACAATACATGGCAGGATACTGATTTAATTTATTAATAAGTTTTTAACTTCAATGTGGATGAAACATATTGCTTGAAAAAGTGTTACCAACAATGGTTACTGCAAGAAACTTGGTTTTGAAAACTTTCTTGATTTTTGAATTCATTAAATCTGAACATAACTTGAAAGAAGAAATGTGTATTACTAATATTTGATTTATTTGCCCCTCAGACGTTATCTCAATCTTATAACAACATCAGTAGTAAAGAATTTCCAACAGATTCTGGATATCTTTCTGGTTCTTCTATGTCTTTGTATTCACCCCCCAATACTTCCCAAACTGATGGATCTGGTGAGTATGTTGACATTGCTTTTGAGTTTTAAAAATTTGTGATAGTTTTTTTTATATAACATTTTTTAATGTTTTGTAGATTGTGGTGTTTATGGACATGGTTTGCCAAATGATCAGCAAATGTATAATTACATTCAGCTCCTTAGTAACACTAGCAAATTAAATTTGTCTGATGGAATAGAGGGAGTTACTGGTTTTAATAACCAAAATCATCATACAAATAGCTCCTCTTTGGATGATATGAGTATTAATTTTCCACAAAGTAATTTAGATAAGGTATCACTTGATTTAATTACTTTTGTCTGGAGTAAGTGTCAACTTGTGTTCAAAAGTTCACTTTTTTTTTTAATTTCACAGTGTACATTTTCCAATAATCTTCTTCAATTGACATCAAATTATGTCAACATACCTAAGAATGATGGAGCATCAGTTAGTAGTTCAGCTAGTTGTGATGGCAGCTTAAATGGCTTGGAACACCAATTAAACATGTCTTTGATGAAAATTAACAATCAAAAGAGGACTCCCAACAAAGAAAACAATGCTCAATCTCCAGCAACCTATTCGGCTATTGGTTTTCCTAGAAATCTCAGCAGCAGAACATCCTCCAGCATTCAGCAGGTTTGAGTTTTTCTATTTTCCTTCCTCCTATATTTATTTTGATATATTACTGTTATTCTTCTGTAAGAAATGCCCTCTGTTCAATTTAACATCATTATTGGGTTACTGTTTCTGCTAAGATACTGAGTTAGATTGGGGCTTATATTCAATTTTTCAATCTTTACTTCTGCTTAATGCTTGAGAGACTTCAGAACTTTGTACATGTGCTGAGTTTTAAAGTTTAGGAAGGGTCCTACAAAGTATAGACTAAGTTTTGTTGTTCAGATACATAAGGGATAGTTCTAATATAAGATACATAAGGAATTCAAAATTCTATCTGGCTTAAAATTAATAACTGGCCCGCCATCTGCAAATAGTGCTTTGATGTTGATTTCAATTTTGAAATTTTGTTTGAAATGTTGACACCCTTAAACAAGATATCAATTTTACGCAGTTTGTTTTTGATTATTTAAAATAATCTCTATATTGAAAATTAAGCATTTTTGTTTAGGGAAAAAAAATTGAACTTTCTACTCAACCAAATTCATGTTTTTTTTCTTTGATATAAACACAATATCCATCAATTATGACATGTGCCCCTTAAGAACAAAAAGTCAGTGATTATAATTATGTTAGGTATTACGTTTGTAAATTAAAGTGGATAGTTAAAATCCAATAATAATATCAATAATAGTAGTGATGATGATGATGATGATGATGATAATAATAATAATAATAATAATAATAATAATAATAATAATAATAATAATAATAGTAATAATAGTAATTTTTTTTATTATTCATATTACTTGGAGTACAAGTTTCAAACAATGACAAACAGGTGTTATATTAATGTAATCACATTTAATACTTACAATTACATTAAGGGATTTTATGAATTGGTATTCGGACAAGCAAATAGAGTATTGTTGTGTTTACATGTTGATGTTAGCTTTTGTACAGTTAAGTATTTAGATTCTGGAGCACACAACACCGGAGTAAGATATATATTGCAGACAGAACAGAAAATCTTTGAGATTGTTTTAAAGAATCACATTATTAACAATATTATTTATATTTGATTGTGCACTTTTCAAATGTATATTAAAGTTGTAACTGATAAATAAATTTGAATGTTTGTAACTTGGTTTTACAAATTCAAACAGTGATAGTAACACTACTCTTTATTTTATTTCTCTTAATTTATATGGGCAAGTCTCAATTAGGAATTTTTTAAAATAATCTTTTGGTAATATCTTGACATGTTTTAATATTACTAGATAATTTGTTATAGGTATTATTGCTTTTCTATAGGGATCTTTGTTGGTCGATGTTTTATCTACATCCTGTGGTAGTTCAGCTGTCATCTAGAATAGTGATAGTCCACTACAACATAGGTGTATTGATATTGGTTAATATAAATATAAATATAATTAAGTTTTCAGAGTCATGTTTTACTACGTGCTGACAACAGTGATTTTAATGTTCCGGAATTTTTATACCTCTCGTTATCATCAGAATTGGTACTAAATGCCATGAAACAACATTTTGGATGTACTCAGTTTTCCATATTGTGCATATATAGTAATTTTTTGTTGTAACTTTTCTAAAACCTTTCTTCCTTACTTTATCATCTTTCTATGCATGTAATAAAGAGCAAGTATTACTATACTGCATCAGAAATTAATGTTCCATCAAAAAAGCTTGTCTTGTTTGGCCCTGATATCGAAAAAAGTTGATGAAATTTTTTGCTATATGCAGTAAATTATTTCAAACACGGTCAGGATCCACAATTAGTGGGATCAAAAAATTGACACTAAAATATCATTCTTGGACAATGCTAGTGCCTAAATTATTCAATGATTTTCTTCTTAGTTATCCTGATTGATCTTGGTGAAATAAATATTTGGATTTTAGGGAGTACTTTACACAAAGCCTTAAACATATTTTGATAATTGTCTCAAAAATGGCACCAATTTCTTTTATTTAACTTTTTCCTTGAATGATGTAAAATCCTTAAAAAATGTCACAGGTGATCTCATTTTTGAAATATCAGAATTTTCTTCATTCTGTGCTTGTGTGCTGATGTGCATGTTCATTCATTCACATTTCCTTTAGTTTTTCCAATAGGTCCTGTTAGGATTGCATAATTGGCATTTGAAATTGAGATTGAAGTGAATACTTAGCAGTTATTGTATTTTGTCACGAATTGGCCATCACAAGGCCACGTGAACGTGCAACCCACCAGGGTTCATAGAGGTTAGATGAATGCGATTTTAATGGGGGAAACATCATTTTTACGTGGAATCCGTTTTTACACCCAGGGTTGTTTGCCCTGAGGGATGAGGTGAAATGATGATGATGAAGGATGAAATGGACAATCTTAAACACAACCATGCCTGAGGCAGGACTTGAACCCACGATCCTTTAGTTCATGACTACCAAGGCACTACTGCGCCTTAGTGATCTCAACTACCCAAATTGGCTGTGGCTAATTATTATTTTGAATCTGCACAATAACAGTGCAATTTCACTCTCTGCGATAATGTTTCTATAATTGGTATTTTAGAAAACTGTCAGTTTTAAAACCAATTTGTGAAGATGGCTGGTTTTGATATTGACTTCAATCTAAAAAACTGGAGATTTCCGAATTTGATTTTTATCCTCCACTTATTTGAAATTTTAACTTTATAATGCGTTTCTAATAATATTTCGTAAGAGCCTACATATGGGAAACAATCAACACTTCAGTTATTCGACATGTATATTAATAATTTAGAATTAATTTCAATTAGAATAAGCAAAAAGACAACCTTAATTCTCTCAGTACCATGTATGTTTGTGCATGTGTGTTTGCGTTTTTAGACATATGTATGAAACATAGACTTTGGAGACCCTTACTAAAAAACATTTTCATTTTGTATGTCCTGTCCTCTGAATGTGCCATATTTAAAATGTTGACTATGGCACAGGTGGCAGTAAGAGCTTTCTAGTGAGGGAATTTTGAACTAATGGTAAGAACAGATTATATTGGCCAAGCATGCACCCGTCAGGTGGGTGTTCTGAATATTCCTGCAAATCGTGATAATATGCATTTGTTTTTAATATTCAATATTTATTTTAATATTCATTACAATGTATAATTTAAAAATTTAATAAACAAATAATAATTAGGGTGAATTTAGTATATTTGGATAATTGCTGCGTGCGTGTGTGTGCTACACTTGGCACGTACATATTCAGAAGAACATTTGGTATGTTCATATCACACAATTATTTTCAGGCCAAAAATCGGAAAAGCTTGAAGTGATGTTGGGAAATGAGTCTGATTTATGTAATTGTGGATCAGATGAATTGAAGAATTATTTCACTCAAATGTGCAAATTGGTGCAGATTAATTATGTAAATAATTCTAATGAAAATTATTTTATTCTTGGTGTGAAGCAAGATGAGACTGTATTGGAATTACCTGCAAATTCAGTTCCCAATAATTTTAAATGTTGATTAGAAAAGGAAGATGTAAAATGGAAAAGGAAAGCTATCAATTACAAGCACCAACTTTTACTTCCTTCCTTATTTACCTTATTTTCTACATTCCTACATTGTAAAGAGAAAGTATTTCAATGATGCACCTAAAAACGGCAGTTTTTGGCAGAAAAACATTTTGGGGCTGTGATTCTAAAAATCGTTGACAGTACATAGTCTTCCTCCAATATGTAGTAGTGTTGAGTGACTGGACTTCGAAGGTGCTAGTACTGCATTCACGGAAGGTACACCCAAATGCTTGCTCTGCTGAGTGCAAGTGCTACAAGTGGACACTGTATTGAATTGAATGTATATTTTTTATTTAGTGTGCTCTGATATCTTGTTGGTGGCATATTCTGAGTTGTATTAATTACTCTTTGCGCTCCAAACGTGAATGTGGAATTGGAGATACACCCATGAAAATAGCAATGATGATTTTTGTTTCAGACTACAAAAAATATTGCTTATAGAATTGGTGGACAGTGAAAAGAGTTGCACACAAAACCAGCAGAGGTGAAATTTGCAACCTAAGATACAGTTTTTCCCATTACATGAAACGTGCCTTTATAATCTCTAACTATAAGCCTTTTTGGATTGCATTTGAACTGACACTTCAGAACTGGTTTTTACTTCCCTTCACATATGGACTTGCACATGACCACCACTCCAGTATTAGCTTAAAATTCTATTTTGATTTTTTCACATTACTATGCATCATTTGCAGAGGTGACAGTCTACTTGTAGCTAAATGGTGCCACATGGGCAAGCAGGGAAATTTGAATTTGCCATTACAATAAAAAGGCAGCAAGAAAGATTGTTAATTGTCCAATTCGTGGAAATGAAAACCACAAGAGCTCTGGAGGACAAGTTAATGTCAAAACATGAGATGACTTCTGTTGCTGTCAACCTGACTTGGGAGATACATCAGCTGAAACTGATCACTCTTTGGACCAAAAGGCTGATCTGACGGTGAATTGATCATGCTTTGGAAACACCAATAAAGGATACCAAATTGATAGCAGAATTACAAAGCTTTTGAAAGCCAAATTGGATAAATTTTGTAAAGAAATAAAAACTGATTTCACCATCTTGAGGAAAACCTTTGAAGAATCCCAACAAGAAAGTAAAGAAGAAATCTGACATTACCAAGAAGATGGAAGAACTTAAAATCACTGTCGAAAAATGCCAAGATGATCAGGATGGCATCTTCAGGAAACTTGTGTGTATCCAAAAAGATAAACACCTTAGTATCAACATGTAAATAAATGTTTAAAAAATCAACTGACACAAAAAAAGCCTCTACGAAAAGAAAAAAATTAAAACCTCAAAAAATCTGTAAAGTCACAAATCAGGTGATGTTGCATGTAAAACCACAGAAGAAATTGCGGAAAACTCCAGAAAGAAAAATATCATTGTCCACAGAAAACAAGAAAGCAGTGTAGGAACAATTCAGAAAAAGGTGATATCAGCAAATTTCTAGAAAAAAACTCAAAATCTAAACTACAAGAAAGTCAAACTGAGAGAATGAACTTAACAGCACATTGGAAGGGGTAGGGAACCAGCTTGTAATTTGCATCACAAAAACAGGCTTAACCCAGAATATTGCCTTTCATAAGGATCAATCTTCTGTAAATCAAGAAATCAAAGAATCTGGAGGAGAATTTGCAAAAAGCATGACAATCTGCAAGCAGTCATCAACTAGAGAGGCAAACCAAAAATCAGCAGTCAATATCAAGCTTCTCCCCAACTGATCAACTATCATAGGCAAGGGTATACTATCATACAGTCTATACCAACGTAACTTCTACAAAAATTTGCCATGTAAATTTTAGAGAACACAAACCAACCATAATAGCTTGTATGTAAACACTGGACATTTTGTATATTAGGATGGTTCAAATATATAGTCAGAAAATGTTGAAAAATTTATGGGTGAATGATCTAGCAATATTTTTTCCTTGCTTACATTTAATTTATGTGTTGCTTGTTTAGCAGAAGACAATCTATTTTGAGATCCAATAGTACCATTCAAAATGTCATTGGGTGAAATAGTAAGGTAAAGATGCTGGTTGAATTTACTATGAGTAAAAATTATGAGAACTGTTCAATTAAATGATTTGGTTATTATACATTGTATAAGTCACTTGGGCACAGATGCACGCTTGTCTTTGAGCACCCCCCCTCCCATCCAAAAACTTAAAGCCTTGCATATTTAAGCACACTTGAGCTGCCATACAAACTAGCAGTCAAATCCTCCAAACTACCAAGTTCCTATTACCGCCTGCAAATCCATTATTCGCCCATCGTTTCCCCTTTTATGCACTCTTCCAAACATGATTTTGGCGTCTGGTTACCATGCCAGGTACCCAGTCAGTGGTGCAGTCTCCTACTTACAAATGAGCGGTGTCTAATGCTTCGAAACTGCTTTTTGACATTTCACTGTTCCCTTACCAGTTAGTAGAAATAACCCACTGTTCACCTGCCCTTCAAAAGACAGATTGTCTCTTTCTGACTACACATTCACGGTATCCTTTTCAAAAATTGATGATCCTAGGTGGATAAAAGTGTGTTCTCTTCTTCGAACTCAGCACCATGCCAAGTGTCAAGAACTTTTTATCTTACAATGGTAGTCTGAGTGCCCCCTTCGGTCAGAATGCAGCACCTTTTTGAACTTGCTTGCCTACTTTAAGAAAATTTCATAAAAGCTCACATAATGTAGGTGGAAACAGTATGTCTCACAAAATTCACCAACACACACGAGGTTCTCTATGAAAGTATTCCTGTTTTAAAATGTGGAATGTGAATTCTAGTGTTAAGATTGATGTTGAAGTGGATAATTCTTAATAGATATTGACACTAGTGTAGAAGATATGACATTATGAAAATAATTTAATGGGATAATTGCATTTTATCATCTTTTTTTTGTTTCTTTCCAGTCCATGCCAGGAGGTGGCGTGAAAGAATCTTCCAACTTCATGTACCAGGGAAACAATGGCTTGAGATTCAATTCAAGTGGCGTTACAGACCATGGAGGTGCTGGATCAAATTTTCGCATGAATCATAACAACAATAGCAACGATATAGGACTAAAGCATATGCAAGTTGCTAATTCAAGAAAGAACAATTTTTCTGTTAACAATAGTCCAGCACTCGGGAATTCAGTATCTGCTGCATCATCTCCGAACTTCAGCACAACTGTTCCCCCTCCTCCTGCTCCAGAGAACTTAAATCCTCTTCTGACATCCACCCCCAATGATACCAGATCTGGCTTTTCTCATTTACATTATGGTAACACTCCACCTTTGCCTCCACTTCATCAAATAGTTCCACCACCTCCTCTGGACCAGAGCAGATATCCTCCTGAGATATATTCAGAAATGCTGAAAACTCAAGCAAGATTAGGATATATTCCATCATCTGGATCTGGTCCATCAGATATTATGCCATTCTTTGACGTCTCAGGGATGTTTGGTTTTCCACCTCAGATGTACGGTTTCCGATCTGTCCGGTAAGTATTCTAAGTTACGTTTTTTGCAGTTAGACACTATAATTAATTCCTGAGTTTCCGTGCACAATGATGAAGGATAATAAAATTTTGGTTGATTTCATGCAACGAATTCAATGACAATCATTCTCAGTCAACTAATGAAGCTTTTTCTCAAGGTGGAGAAAGTAAAAGGTAAAAATACAACTACAAAAATCGAATTGGGAATAAAAGACAGGTGTATTTCAATATCTTGATAAACTCGTATAAAGATTTTTGTACCATTTTTCTTTGCCTGATGTACACATCAACCAGATAAAGTGTGATTAGTAGGGCGGGAAAAATTATGATTTAAAAAAATAATAATAAAATACATAAATAAAAGATTTAAATCATATTTTTTTAATTGTATTCTGTTTTTCCAATAAACCAAAATTAAGTGATTTATTTATTCTTAATTACTCTATAAGTAGAAAAAATTTATTAAAACATCAAGTTTTAAAATTTTATTTTATTTTTGTGCAATATCACTATAATTTTAAAAAAATCTTTGTATCAGTTTTATAATTGATTAAGACTTTTTATCTGAGTATTTATCAACATATTTGCAAACATTACAAATAATAAATCATAAGAACCTTTGTGATTAGAAAGGTTTATTTATGAATATCACTCCAGGAGGAGTTGTCTTTTCATTCATTTTATCGTGTTTTGTATTGTGTTTTTTCCACAATAATATGTTTTTTAGTATTGTGATGTAATGTACTTTGATGTAAGGCTTGTTTTTATTTCAAATGAAATTGGCATGCCATTTAGTGACAAAATGTAGGACATGGGTTGGAGAAATGCATAAATTTTATTTGGTTAGCTCAAATATTTACACTTTACAAGAAGTATAAAGGGCTAATGAAATCTATTTGTAAATCATAGTGGCAAATATAAATAGGTATACTGAAGGTCTATGTTCTTGTACAAACTATGAAACAATTTTGCAGCCGAAGTGGACCATCTAGTGAGCTTCATCTGCGGTTGGAAGAATGCTATGACCAGTTCAAAAATCTTGAGAAAGAACGAAAAAAGACAGAAGCAGATTTGGCTCGACATAATCCAGGAAAAAAGGTTTCTTCTGCAAATAACATTCCTGTGCCACGGCTTCCTCCAAATCCCTCACGGGTGGACAGACTTATTGTGGATCAGTTGCGAGAACATGCTAGAGTAAGTATGGCTGAGATTTTCAAAATCATAAAGAAAGAATTCCTTCTGTTCTTACGATTTTGTTATCAGTGAGCAAGTGTTAACACATGGTTGATAATAACCATATTTGAAGACATTTTGTTGTGAATTCTTCATTATTGATTTATTTCTTGTGTCTAATTGTATTTGGGGATTAAGTAACTCCTGTTGAAGATGGTATAATTTTTTGGCCTATCCGCATCAGAATTTTGTTTAATTTGTCAAGGAAAGAGTTCATTTATCCTGCAACAGAGCACAACACAGAGGTAGAACAGCGCGGAGCCATTGTGCCATATAACATTCCTCACAGTGATTTGCATATGCTCTTGGATTTAGTTCGAAGATCACCACTAATGGTTTTTATTTCCTTCTGTTTCACTCCTTCCTAGTTTGCTGTTCTGAGACACCAAAGTGATGAAACAAGTATTATGTGAAAGTTTGTTACTAAATACTCCATTAATCTAAGAGATGTTTTAATCCTTGCAAAAGAACTTGTGATGAAACTCATCATGCCCCCCAAAAAAACCCTCCCCGCGCACCCTCGAAGCCGTCCCCGCGCCCCCCTCCAAACTCTCTCAACACTCTCCAAATCTCCCGAACCTCGAACCAGATTATCTAATTTATTTAACAAAGACAATAGGAATTTTTTTCTGATACATTATTGCTTGATATTGCTTTTGATATGGAGCTCGACATCACTGCATAACGTACTTTGATGAAGAGGGAAATATGTTGTATGTTGCATGTTGCTGCATATTCTTTTACAGATGGAAATCTGAAATGACAAACTGAATCAAGTTAACATGTTAATTAGTATATACGAATAATTAAAAAAATCATGTATGTACCATGAATGTTAACTGGTTCTAATGATCAAGAGGTGACAAAAAGCCCTTGGACCTAAGGCCCTCTTCTAATTCCCGTGGTCTAGAAATAACTGTTATCTACTGTAGTGTAAGAGACGTGGCTTAAAACAGTTTCTGCTGCATTCCGGAGTGGGGTGGTTAGGGCCCGTTCCAGGAAGTCAGTGTCAATGTTTTTTAAATATTTGATGCTGCTTGTTTTTCAATGTTTTGTGCTTGTATTTTCAATTTTGGTGTTTTGTTTGTGGATAAGAGCGTAAATTCACATTTCTGTACAAAATATAATAATTAAAGAATTTAATTAATTTTATTTTTAATTACATTTTATTTTTAATAAAATTAAAAATTAAAATATTAAATAATATCTGTTGATTGTAAAGTTGATACGTTTGCATCAGATTAAGTGTTCATATGAAGCAAATGGTTTGTACTACTTATTGAGGAGACAGTCTCTTGCCCAACTGACAACCCCATGCCCTGGTATTTAATGTGAATAGACGTGGTCAACACATATGCTGTACGCCTCTTTCTTCATTTATCTTTCCCCGAAGAACTGAGGAAACTCTGCCCTTATGAGATACCGTAAGGGCTCAGGTTTACAGGCAGTTTTGTTAATTTTTGGTATGTTTTTACTTTTATAAGGTATATTCTTTTTCTTCTTTTTCTCTTCTTTTCTTCTCTTCTCCCCTTTTCTTCTTCTCTTCTTCTTCTTCTTCTTCTCCTCCTCTTTAAAAAGAATGTAACTACATAATCAGTAGCTCTCGAGCTAATTATAGGTACTCAACTGATTATTGGTACCCCATTGGCGGCAGCAATATGGAATCGAGGGGAGCTTCAATCACAAGTCAGCTTGACTAACTGGAGTCCATTGTCAACCTCTTTCCCGAAGGTGGTTGATTACTGCATGTGTCACATTGGCACACTCGCTCATAGGTCATCCTTCTCGCTGTTGTTCTATGCATCCTTGTGGAAATTCTCGCGACTGTCCAGTATGAAAGGGCTTTATTTCTGAAAGCTTCCACTAAATTCCATTCTACATTCAGGCTTTCTACTCAGGGAACTGTTATTTTGGTTTATTGAATTTTTTTTATAATACTGTAATTATACTTTATTTTACTTATTATACTTCTACTCATATTTATATCTTATTATACTTACTGTAATTTAATTTCTTTGATAGGTCATAACTTTAATAGCAAAAATGGAGCGACTGAGAGGGGCAGGTGTTCACCCTGAAATTCATGCTTCTATGGAAGCTTGGCTGGAGGCTATCAAGAAAGTACAAGCCCGGAGACGTGATGAAATCATAAACTCAACCAATAGACATCATAACATGGTTGCTGGCATTCAGACTCCTAGAATTCAGGAAGATAAAGGTAGGTTGATATATAATACGAGTGTATTTTATTTCTATGAGATTGCAAACTATTAATGGGTGTTAAGGCTTCTGCATTTCTTCAGTGACCAGTTATTGATACATTTTTTACTAGCTCAAGGTCTTGAATGAGTGTATATTCACATGAATACTCTGTCATTACCACTTTGCTTTTCTTCAAGGTAATTTTTGGACATTTGTCAGCTCAGGTTTTCCTGGTATATATCCGTGCTGAATTAATTTACCACATACATTTGAGAGAGAATTGCCTCATTCCTAACATACAATTTAAGGTTGTCCATTTAAAGCAAATGTGTTACTGGTCTTTGGTCACCAAAAAGTGGAACTGAACTTCCATGAACCATCTAGATAGTGAGCTTAAGCTAATGCAAAAGAGTAGAGGGGATGGTGGATCTTGAAAAAGCCTCTGTTAATCTGATTATTTCTTGTTTCTCTTATGTGCTGTTCACTGAAAGTAAGTTCTATATTTACTAAATATAAGACAATCCCTAATTTTTGGAAAGGTCCGTTGGGAATTTTGAAAACTTTTTACTAAATGTAATAAGGCACTCCACTTTATCTCAAGGCTTAGAAAATTAAATAAAATGAGTCCCATTCTCTTTTGAAAATAACTCGAAATTAGAACAAAAGCCACTTGCTTCATCTTCTGTGATTATCCACAAATGATGTCTCACAAGAAACCAAATATCATTCAATCCTCGGCTACCTTCAACACTCTTCACTCTCACCTTACTCTTCAGGTGTCTCTTTGCTTCTGATCCACATTCATGATGATCTTGAGTTAGTAAAAAAAGTCACTAATTGAGTAGATTCTGGTTGGTGAGATTTAATCTTGTCACCCAAGCTATCTCTATTTTCTTGGTCCTTAAAATCATTATTGTTTTTGTTACTATCATATTCATTTTCACATGAATAATTTTTCTCTGGGCCTCCTTCCATACTACATATGTTGTCCTCTGATCTACTACCCTCCTCCCTTGAAATTTTTTGCACATTGCGTTTGAGTTCTGAGTCTTTCATCGGAAGCTTTCTAAACACATTCCCTTCCATTTGGCCAGATTTTCATCCTGTCACATACTTGTTCATGGCCTCTGATTCTTTAACAACAATTAACTTCAAATTTGCATTGTTCATATTAATGTTACTTTTGTGAACTGCAAATTTTAGTATTATTCTATCTTTGATTGGGTGTAAAATTTTTACTTCTATCAATGTGAATTCAATGTGAACACAGATCCCTACTAGCTGAGTGTTGAACTGAGAGCCCACATGGCCTCACCAGTCAGTGTATTTTGTGTAATTTTCTTTTTCACTTCACGTTTCACTTGTTACTATGCCTTTAGTTGAAATGCTCTCTTTACCAAACTATTCAAGGACAGAATTGTCCTACTAATCTGTGGTGGATGTCCAGAATATGCCTGCGAATATAATGAGGTATTATATATACATATGGTATAAATCACTTTTCCAACTTATTGTTACTGTCAGCATCAGCTTTTCTTGATATGGTCTCAACAAATTAGGTTCAATCTGCTATCATGCTACGATCCTGTAGTTTTAACCAGGTAACCAGGGTTCATTGTACCCCAACAGGAAAAGTATGGAAGGCATTGGGATATTTTTGTGTGACTTTGTTTGCCATGGTGTTTTTTAACCCTTTATTGCATGATTTTTTATTTTTACTTGCAATATTGTTGCTTTTATTTATTTTCATTAAGGGAAAAATAATTTAAAAAATCAGAGGGAAATATTGCTTGAGAAAAACACCAAAACAAATTATGTTACTCCCGAGTTACATCATGCAGTAAAGGTTTAAAATTCTTCTACTCTGCATATTCTTTCTTGATTACATACAGGATTAAAAAATTAAAAACATCGAAATTGGAAGAAACGGATTAATTTTATGTAGAATATATTACAATAAATTTATATTGGAGTATTTTAATATTTTTAAGGAATTTCAATTGTGGAATTGAAGGAAACAATTTTTTCTGCGTGGATTAATTTTACCTGTTTGTAAATTTTCTTCATTTATTCAGGTATCTCGTGTGTATAGGTATCATCCAAAGTTTGAGAAATAAGATAATTTTTTTTAAGAATCTGCTCATCAATTTTGTGAACATCATCCATTTATCTTCATAAATTGCTGAGACTAATAATTCATCCTAATTGCCATATGGTAAATTCAAAAAATTTATTACTTCAAGTTCTGATAAATTCTCGTGCAGTCTAAAGATGAGTTTTATAAACTTCTTTTTAAAAAAAAAAAATTGCAACGTAAAAACTATATCGAAACTTTGACTGGATCAAAGATCCATTTTGTAGCGTAACATATATGCATGATGTTACACCAACAAAATAGGCTATATTTCACAATTTAAAAACACTGTACTTATTTTTTAAACTGTTAAAGGTATGAAACAGAATCATTTGTATTTTAGGTCTAAATTTTTCCTAAAACATTTTGTTTCTGATAAACAGAAACAATGTGACACCAGGAAGTTCTGATACATAAAACCATTGGATTACTATCACTTCACATTGGTATTTTATCGCGTTTGCCGCCTAACAATGCATGGGGTGATAAGAACACATGACGTAAATCACGTAATGTAAAATCATGTAATAAAAAATTGTTCGTAATTAAATCGTTAGAATGCGTTTATGACCTAAAAAACGTTACACCTGAATTACACTACACAATAAAAGATTAAGTGTACCCCAAACCATTTTGTGAAAGCGTTACTGAATAATAAATAAATAAATCTTTTTTTTTTCAGCATGCGGGGTCCCTTGCACCCAGGTGTCTTAATCTATGCGTTATATTGTATTTCCTGGTTTTGTTTGGTCGATTATTTGTCAATTGCTTTGTGCCCAAGGGACAGACAGATGTTGGGTTGCACAACGTCAGTTCAACGTCTTATCTGAGGCTCTGTATCTAAGAATTGTCTTTTGCAGACAGTGATATAGTGTCAAGGGTCAGGAGAGTGAATTTTTGAAGTTGTGTGCGATCCAGTTTTGAAGTGGTTTGCGGGATAACTGCACAGCGACAAGTATGTTGCTGACCCTTACTGAATGTTAGAAAACATGAGATCTTATGATTAGCGTTTATTTAATGCTGATATTGTAAAGGATTTGGTTCATACACAAAATGTAAGGAGACAGACAAACGGAACAATAATACGTTTCGCCTATTAATCATACATGTTATCAGGGAAAAAGTAGCTGTTACAACTCAGAAACTGATAACAATGCCAAAAAAAGATGACATTTGTGCCTTTGGAAATGAAGTTGGAAATACAGAGATGTAGCATCTGTTCAAAGCCTGTCTGTAATGAATATACTCAAGTAAACAGTGTTTGCGATCTGTAATAACAGAAAAAGTATTTTAAAATCAAATTAAAAATATTATCAAAGGTTTCTTAAATTAAACAACTATATTAAAATGTTCTGTTTCATTATTCACGTCCGAAAAGTAAATCTGTAAACATAATACTGTCCCAGACACTCCTGGGTTCGCTGGACTCCGCTTGCCCCATAAAAGGTGAAAAAAAGATCTTGGAATGTCCATGAAGAAAACATTTCTCTTCTTTCATGAACATTGTATTTGCTACAAAGAAGTTGTTTCCAACAGAGAATTCAATCAATCTCTACGGTTTCTGCTATCCAGGCCAAGTTTTCCGGTTCTATATTTTATTTCTTATCCACTCTTAAGCGTCAGTGACCTTAAAGAAACAGATAATTTTTCCTCCCTCTTTTGTCTGTGATTTTGATTGTCTCTATCTGATGAAATTATCAATCTAAATCTCTATCTCTCTTACTCACTCTTTTCCAAATGTTCAATTAAGAGCAATAATATATACACAGGACTTCATTGGTGGTGGAATGCAATGGAATTGACAACTTTGATTTGTAGTTTGACTATTGTAAATGTAAAATTAATAGCTGATTTGCTTAAAAGTGAATGCTATCACTCAGAGTACATAGTTAATTCACTGCTAAATAGAATTTGTCAAAATTTTAACAATTTGTGTATTGATTTTTGATTCCAGACAATGTATTTATTTGCGAGTTAAAAATTTAATTTTTAAATTCAAATGAAGTTTATTAACCCTTTTACTGCTCTGGATGTGTTCACATGCAGAAAATTTCCGTGCTTGAGGGCCTCTAGACATGTCATGAGCAGTCAACTACTGCTGGGAGTCTCTAGATGTCTGTACACTCAATGCCATTTTTTTCTTATAATGCCTTTTGTGAGGCCAAACTGATTCCTGTGATGATTTTAGCAGTACATGTGTGTGGTTCCACACACTAACTTGTCATATTGATGCTGTTCTGGTTCACTAGTCACGCATATCTACGAGTTTGTAGTTTTGCTGCAATACAAATGCTTATTGTCGGGTTCAGTGCCCTCCATGTAGGAACAAGCAAAGTTGATTTCTTAAATTCCATTTGCATTACTAGAGTGAGCTTCAAGGAGGGTTGAGAAGTCTCTCTCTCTCTCTCTCTCCAGAGATTGCTTCAGAGAAAGAAAGAAATTTATTGTACTACTGACACTTTCCTACCACTGTTTACTTTTGAATCCTGCGAATTGGAGTCATTGAAGCCATTGAGCGATTAGGTCTTATGTAACTCATGTTTTCTAGAGTCTTTTGTTACTTGCCTTTTAGTGGTCGAGTTGTTCAAAGCTTTCTTTGAGTCTGCATTCAGTTAGGATTGGATTTGCTTCATTATCTCTTATGTTACTGCAGGCTGACAGCGCTGAGCTCAGCACGCAGCAGCACCAATGACTATACATATTGCACACACCCTGCAACCCACTCCTGGCACAGTCTTCGCATTCAAAGGGTTAATTCAAAACCACAAGTGTTCATGGCATAATTTGAACAATAGTTAATTTTGATAAAACAATGCATTTATTTCAAGCACATATTTTTCTAGTCCATATTTTATCATTTTAATATTGCATAAATTTTATATTTTTATATACTGTATGTTGTCATTTATATTTTAGAAATAGTCCCAATTTGATTACAGACAAATTCCAGAAGATGACAAACTAAATTTTTGTTGAAACATTAGTTGTAAGGAGGATATTGTAACTATTAGAGAGGAGAAGGTATAGATAAATGCTGAGGAGATAAAATTAACACGTCAAGTTTGGGAAGCAGCCTTAACAAAGATAGACATTGCAATGAAGAGAGGGGGGAAAAAAAAAAAAAGAGGGGAAAAGGCAGCTGTGAAAAAATGTAAGAAATTCATTGAGGATCTAGGTTAATCAAAGAAGCTACTACAAAAACTAATATTCCCCGTTTTATTATATGGCTCTTGAGTATTGGACTCTAAGATCTATAGACAGGAGAAAAATATATGCTTTGGAAATGTGGTGTGGGAGGAAATTATGTATAATCGTCTATTTTGGAAGTCTCAGCTCTCAAACAAAAACTTTTTCTTAGGACACATTGTAAGGAAATGGGACTCTTTGGAGGATATATTAGGAATAATGGATGAAACTAGAAGACCTGGACGATGGAATGAGACAGCATGAAGAAGTCAGAAAAGTAACAATGGATAAAAGCAATGTATCTGGCACTGGACAATATGGAGAGCAAAACTTGCAAAGGATTTTACAGCGAAAAGGAAAAGATGTTTTGAAGAAGAGGCTTGAATTCCTTCATAAAGGATTACATGTATTCTATAAGGTGTATCTGGAAGGACTGCTCCAAGCAGTTGAGGCTCAGGATCGCTGTCTCTGCATACTCCAGTTTAGTGCTGGTGTTACGAAACATGATGGAAAAATTACTTGAGCAACACTAGGTTGTAAAGTTTTGTTCAAAATTGAACACATCTCTTGTGAAGACCCACTAATTAATTGTTCAAGCTTATAGGGTCAATGCTTTATAATATTCGCAAGTTTTGAGGAAGTTGAAAGTGTTTCAGGAAGACCGAGAAGAGGTGGTCAGCGAACCCCATGCTGGATGGTCTTCAACCAGCACAACTGATGACAATTTGCCTCATGTGCATGATCTTCTAAATTCTTTCTCTCGATTGAGTGTCCAGTTGATTGCAGAAACTCTTAACATTCTCAAAACAATTGTACACAAACTGGTGAGCAATAAATTGGACATAAGGAAGGTGTATGCCAAACTGCTGATGGACGATCAAAAGAATCACGAGTTACAGTCGCGAGTGAACTTCTCAAATGTGCATTCAAACATGCTGAAATTAACCTGATTGTTTAGACAATGTCATTTCAAGGTACAAGACATGGTGTTTTGAGTATGAATCAAAAACAAAATGTCAAAGCCCCGAGCGGCACAAAGCTTCCCCAAAGACAAAAAAAAAAGTGAGGGGGAGAAAGTCGAAAGTGAAATCGATGTTGATTGTCTATTTGATGCCAAGGTGTGTCATTCAGAGAGTTCATTCCTCAACGCCACTCTGTGAACGCTACTTACTATGTCTGAGTGACAAACGAGATTGCCACTATCTGGCAGCTCCACCATGACCGAGCTCCAAGCCACTCAGCAATGTGCATTCATAATAGGTGAAGCACAACTTGACAAGACTTCCCAAACCTCCTACAGACCAGATATGGCTCTGGCCGACCTCTTTCTCTTACCAAGGATTAAAAGCACTCTGAAAGGAAACGGTTTTGATCAATTCAAAAAGGAGGATCATTCAAGGAGCTGTGATAAGGGCCCTTGCCGAGGTCCCCATTAAAGCCTTCCAGGACTTCTACCATGCATGGGAGAGTCACTGGAAAAAATGTGTGGATGCTCAAGGGAACTACTTCAAAGAATATTAATTGTTTGAAAAAATACCTTCAGTGAATATATTGGTTTAAAAAATTGCATTCCTTTCTGCATACACCTTGAATGTGTTTCAGAATATACTTCAACATACGTATGAATCCAACTCAACCAACACATCCTTCCATTGGGCTATTTCTGTAAGCAATACCAAAATTTGCTCCAGTTTTCTCAATAACATGGGAATGTGTACTGTTTTCACAGTGCTGCAGTAAAAACTCTGCCCTCAACAGATTACTTTGCTAAATGCAAATGTTTTAGATTTTTTGTTCATAGTGTGAAAATGAGGATTTCTGATTCTTCATTTGATTGTTTAAATATAATTCTTCCTTTCCAACATGTGTAAAACCTATTACTATTCTTCCTCATTAGAATTGTTTTTGTTTGAAATTGTGTGTTATTTAAAAGATTACATGTCAGAATAATTATGCCTAGTAGCTGACAAACCTATCCTGCTGGTAAGTTTGGTTCACCTCTCATCCTGCCATCCTCATCTCAATATCCTTCCTGATGAAAGGGAGTGATATTGACAAGTTAGAAATGGTTCCCAGAAGAAAAAAAGAATGAAAAAGTTCTCTTAGCACTCAATGACATATAATGTTAAAGTTTTAAAACCTTTTAAGTCTCATTTATGTGAAAAATCATATTTAATTGCCTTCAGTCACTAAACGATTGGCTAGTATGTGTTCTTATTTGCATGTTTATTCCCACAAATAAGGACACATAATAGAATGAAAAAAAGGAAGAAGTAGATTGTCTTCCAACTTCTTTTTATGAGCTACTGTACAATTACTCAAAACAGACTTAAGTGGTTTTAAAATCTGATCATCTGAATATTATCCATGTAATAAGTTCATTTGAAATCATAAAACCAATAAATGTTTAAGACCACCTATTAAATAATTCTTGTGCCATGCAAGTGTTCCAGAAATATATATATTGAGAATTTTTTTTCTTCTTTGTAGATATTTTGGCTCTGGCAGGAAGCATTCATGATTTGAGTATTGGATCACGCCGTGCCCGAACAGGAATGTGGTGTGCCCTTGCAGTCACATTGCTGTCCCAAGACCACAAAATAGAGTCTGATTCTAATCATCTACCACATGGCATGGATGCAGTTTCTTCATCCACTGCTGCTACTTTAATCAACACAGCTGCAAATACCACAATAACAACTGGCACCAGTGGCATGATCTCACTAGTTAATACGGTTACTTCTGCTGGTGCTGTTACAACCCCCAAAATTGTTCCCAGTACTCTGGCAACTTCCAGTAACAGTACATCAACTTCTATTCTTTCTCCTGTAGTTGTCTCTTCAACTTCAGCTGATGCTACATCTACTACTACTGCTGCTACTACTACTACCACCACCACCACCACCACCACCACTAGTGTTGCTGCTACTATTACAACTACTAGTGTTGCTACTATTGGTGTTTCAACAATTACAGTTACTTCTGCTGCCGCCGCCACAACTACCGCAACAACTACAACCATATCCTTCATGACATCTCTTCCTATTATTATTAGCACTACCACAGAAGCCACCAATGCTCCTGTTATATCAGCTGCAACTACTACTACTGCTTTTACTAATGCCACTACTACTAGTACTACTACTGCTACTACTAGTACTACTGCTATGACTGCTACTACTACTTCTATTACTAATACTACTGCTACTACTATTCCCTCCACTTCTGCTGCCACTTCTTCTATTCCTACTACTTCTGCTGTGGTTTCTTCTATTTCTACTACTGCAGCTGCTGCTTCTTCTTCTACTGTTACTTCTACTACTCCTGCTGATGCTGCT